AACCAGGAGGCCGTCGCCGTTGCGCAGCGGTCGCTGCAGGCACAGCAGCAGCTGATGGCCCTCTGGACGCAGGAGAAAAGCAGTCGGGCGCAGTGGGAAGCGGCCGCGCAGGCGAGGGATCAGCAGCGCGCGCAGCTGCAGGACCTCATCATGCGCGTCGATGCGACGCTGCCCGGCAAGGCGCGCACGCAGGTGCGCGCGGCGGCCCATGACGCGCTGGATGCGCAGGCAGCTGAGGCCGCCGCGGCGGCTGCGGCTGCGGCCGCGGCGGCCGCTCAGGCGGCTGCAGAGGCGGCCGCGTGCCCGCAGGGCGCGGAGGAGCAGATTGGCAGCACCGAAGGCGGCGTGCCGGCGGTGCAGGCGTCGGCGGGTGTGTTCGTGGGTGGGCACCAGGATAGCGTGTCCCCATGCACGACAGCGGTGGTAGCAGCCAGCCGGCTGTTTGTGCCGGCGGGGCAGCAGGTGGCTGTCGTGGGCTGCTCCACTGAGCAGCCGCTGCTGGCGCGGATGGCGGGCGCGGCGGCCCAGCCGCGGGTGTCGGTTGTGCAGCAGCTGCCAATGCAGCTGTCGCCTCAGCAGCAGCAGTCGCAGCTGGTGCGGGTGTCTTGCGAGGGGCCACGCCACCTGACACTGCCGCAGCAGCGGCAGCTGCTGCAGCGGCTGCAGCAGCAACAGCAGCAGGCGTATGCCTTCGCCCTCAACGCAAGCGGGCAGCAGTTTGCGGGCAGCAAGAGGGGTACCGTAGCGGGCCAGAGGCGCCCACCGGCGGCCGTCCCCGCAGGGCCGCAGGCGCCCGTATGGGCGCCTCTCGGGGTGCGAGCGAGGCGGCGGCGCAGCCGGCGGTTCTGGAAGTGTTGGAGACAGGCTCCCACCACCAGGGCAGTGGGAATGCTGCCGGCACAGCCGCGGCAGCGGATGCTGAGGAATCTGCAGCTACTGTGGGCCTGGAGGCGGCGGCAGGCGGGGGCTCTGTTCTGGAGCAGGGAGGTGGGAGCAGCCTCAGCAGCGGCGCGGCCGCGGGCGACGAGCAGGGGTCATCCATGGCCGCGGCAGCGGCGGCGGCGGCTGAGGCGCTGGCTGAGGCCCGGCGGCGCTCGCGGCGGAGCACGCTTGGCCGCTGGGGTGGCGGCGTGGCTGCGGCTGTTTGCTGCGGCGCGCTGCTCGAGCTCTGCCGGGCGCGCCCGCGCTGACCGGGCCGTTTCTGTGGGGCGCATCGACGCGTGTGCCCGCCCCTTGCTTAGCATTCTGATTAGCCCGCGTGCAGTCAGCGGGCAGTACTGTTTGGATTGCCTTGGCGCCGTGCATGTCAGATTTGCACCCCTCACCACGGCGGCATCTGTCACAGGTTGAGTCTGATGTGAGAGCCAGGCACGACCCGCGCTTGGCGCGATTGCTGGGGCCAGCAGAGGTTGGCGTGAGCGTTCTGTTCCGCCGCGCTGCTGGCACAGCAACTTCTTCACAGGTCGTGCCGCATGCTTCATTTTGGTGGCTACCCAGCCGCCCTGTCCTGGGTCGGCGACTGGGGTCTTGCTTTCGCTTGCAGCTGCTTTGCTTTGCCGCACTTCATTTCCTGGCCTGGGCGACGCTGCCTCTAGTAGTCTGTTTTGTTCGACACACTTGGGCTGTTGCGATGCAGTCAAACGTTGGGAGTCGTTGAGTAACCCTGCTGACGACGTGTCTGCGCGGCGCCAGCAGCAGCGAGGTAGCCGTCGCGCTGTGCTGTACTAGTTGCGGGCAGCAGGAGGGTGACAGCCGCGGGACGTGCCTGACTCCATATGGCATTTGGATGGTTGGGCTATCTGGTGGGTGACAGCCTGAGACGGGTGAGTTCACACAGCACGCCCAGAAAGTTGCAAGTCGTGCGCGCAGTCGGCTTCCCTTAAGAAGGGGGGAACCTTGGGTTTTGGCCGCATGCCAGCACCAGCTGCCTGCACCTAGACCTCCCCAAAAGCGCGGCCAGAGGGAAGCTGGATCCATTCCACACTTACTTGCAGCAGCTGGGCGGCCACCTGGGCGTCGGATCCGACCAGGGCCCACAACGTCAGGTGCCTGTCTGGTCCTGAAGGTGACCAGCGCGCTCAACCTGTCGGGGCAAGTAGAGGCTCTGAACGGCCTCACGTCCCTGCCGTATGGAGCCAGCCGCTCAGGCAGGGTGCCATGGCAACGAGGGTACATCACGTGCGCTGTCAGCCAGCAGCGGTCGCCCGCTGCACCCACCCGTCACTCGGCCGCGCCCGTCCGCCATGGCTGATGTGAACGCTGCAGAGGTTCGGACCTACAAAGCGATCAAGCGCCATCATTTGAGAATTATTTAGACGTGCGTCTAGCCCAGGTACAGTAGTTCCCGCTCAACCGATCCCAAAGCCGGGCCATCTGCTCGCTCTTTGCCGCCATCAGCGTTGCCAGATCAGGATGTGCAGGTTTACGATACCCTTGAGGCGTGCTGCCGATATGGGATGCTGCCTGAGCAGCGCTGCGTGCCGACGCCCTGCTGCCGGACGCTTGGGGTGTGCAAAGTTTGCGCCAGTCTGAGGCAATGGCGGCGGCGGCAGCATCGCGGCTGCATTGTCCAGGGGCCGGTGAGGCAGGGTGGCGGCTTGACGCCAGCGCCGCATGGCAACTCATCGCTGGTGGCGAGGCGCCATGCAGCTTTGCTTGTGGCGTTGCGGAGGCAGGGCTTCAGTGGGGGACGGGGACGCCACCAGATCTGCGCCTCGGCCCGTGCAGTCAAGTGAGTGGCCTTTGCGACCTTGTTCGGTGAGCTGCCGCGGATGCCTCGGCAGCACAAAGCAGCGCCGCGCCCTGGGGCTGTGTCTGACGCCCGAGACGCGGCTGTGAGCGTGCCCCTTGCGCCGCTGCCAATCGGCGCCCTCAGGCAGCAGGGCCGCATGCGACCTGCTGCCACTGGCGCCTGAGCCTGTGCATGCATGTTGGTGCTGCGTAGGCCCGGCTGCGGTGACATGAGCCTTGCAGCCTGCTGGCTGCTCAACAGCACTGGAGCGTCAACATCAGAAATGTGGAGGGCACAGAGGGTGCGGGGCGGCGCGCCAGCCCAGGTGGCTGGGAAGGTGGGTGGCATGGGCTCTGCTGGGGTCGTGGATCCCCTGCACGCGGTGTGGGTGAGGGGCGATGGTAGTTGGGCCGCGTGATTTTGATCACTTGGGCGCCATGGTGTGGCAGGGTCGCCAGCTGAGTTGGCGTCAGTGGGCGCTTGCGACCAGGGGGCACACGGCAGGGTGTCTGACCTGGCCGCATGTGGTTCACAACCCTCGAGCAGGTGGGGCAGCTGGCGCAAAGGTTGGCGCCCGGTCGGCGGCAGCTGGCTTCATGGCAATCACACCGGATCCAACCAGCTCTATGGTATTGGCGGCGCGGCCTTCTCCTTGTGGTGCGGAGGTGCGTGTGGCAGGTCCTGCGTGAAGATTGCTGCTATTGCAGCACATTTCATACACTTGGATGCAGTTGACCGGGCGTTGACCAGCAGCCGGCCCAGTGCACAGCAGCACACCATTCGGCAAATCAGCCTTGCATCGCGCTGTCTCACGGTGTTGTATCACAACAACTCGACCTTTTTTGACAGTTTCCTGTGCTACCATTCGTTCATACCTTTGCTCAGGTCCTTCGCGTGCGCCCGCTGTGTCCGGTCCGGGCTCCTATCGCGGGCTTTGCGGCCACCACGGTTTTATTTGCGTCAGAGATATTCACCGGCCCTAGTCCGCCGGCCCCAGGGGCCTCGTTCCAGTCGTCGTTTTTAGCTTACTCGCTCTGCAACTCATTGCACACCAAGCCGTGGACGCCCACGGCCATGGAGGCCTCCAAGGAGACCTTTAGATCTTTATCAGCCACGACTGAGCTGTTGCAGGTGCGTCAGGGGCGCGTGGGCGGCATGCGGGCATGCCGCAGTGGTGCTAGGGGGGCATCCGCCCGCAGCAGCGCGCCTTGCAGCGCGTGCCCCAACGGCATGCATTGCTGCGCGCCCAGGGGCCAACCCCCGTGCAGCAGCACCGACTCCGAACCCATCCTCCCGTCCCCCCACCCTCTGCCCTCCCAGGAGGTGCTCAGCACCACCACAGCGCTGGCGCGATGCGGCGCCCCGGGGTCTTTGCGCGACACCCACGCGGCGGCCCTGTGCGCGCTGGCCGTGGTGGTGGGCAAGACTTCAATGGCCGAGGACAACATCTCTGCGCTGCGCAAGGGCGTGCGCGCGTCCACGCGGCGGCTGCAGCGGGGCCGGGCTGGCGGTGCAGCCGAGGTGCGCCTCTGTTGCTTGTTTTCACACGTGTTTGCTTCGTGGGTAGTCGCACGCTTGAGTTGACTCAGCCCCTGGCTCACGCCCGTGCTATGGCGCGTCTTTGCAGCAGCCGTCGTCAATCCCGCAGCTGATCCTGGTCCGCGCGCACCCTTGCAACGACCCTGGCCATGCAGGCACCAACAATTGCGGACATTGTCGGCCGCAAAACCTTCGCCGGCCTCGACGCCGCCACCGCCGCCATGCTGGACGCCGCCGCCGCGGTGAGCCAGACCAAGCACTGTCACGGGCGCAGGGGGATGGGGCCGTGCTCTGTTTCAGAGGCGCCCATGCCTCCTGGGCTGCGGCTGCGCACAGCCCGTTGGTGCGCAGCGGGTCGATCACCGTCCACACACTCGCACGCACCTGTGGCCGCAGTCTCAAGCCCTGCTCGAACTCTCGACGTCCCGCAGGAGTTTGCGGGATGTGATGCCGAGAGGCTTGAGGTGAGGCTGAGGGGCTGCAGGTTAGGGTGTGAAAAGGGCCAGGGGGTGCGCGCCCTCCCCATGTGTGTCCATCCGAAGCCGTCAGCCTGCCGCGCAGCATGAGCGCTCGCGTGCACGCCTGCTGGCCCGCCCTGGCCCCTGCAGCCCTCTTCACTAGGCCCGCTGCCGCCCGGCCCCCCTTGCAGCATGTCGTGGCCATCGTCGCGGGGCGGCTGCA